GAAGCTGAAGAGGGGAGAGGCCTGGGCGCCGGCTTTCCCTGTAGTCGCATGTAACGTAGGCGTTTGGGCCAAACTAGCTTCCTCGCTGCCCCGGCCTTTCTTCTCCCTCAGCCCAGCAGCCCTGGGGCCGGCACAGCCTTCTCCATGATTTGTTGCTCAGCTGGGGCCTGGCTGAGGGAGAAAGGCACTGGGGTGGGAGTTGAGGGCGTTCACCCTCAGGTGGCAGGGAGACCCTGCAGGGTGTCCTAGGGCACCGGCTCCCCCACACCAGCCGGGTAAGGACGGGTCAGCCAGGAAGAGGTTCCTGAGGAGGCCACGAAGGTGGCTGCGAACCCGACGCAGAGAAGAGCCTGCTGCGCTCAGGGCGCAGTCTTCCCGTCGCACAGGGAGTGGTTGTCCCCGTTATTCCAGAGGCACAGTGTGGGCCGTAATGGAGCTCGATTCCAGCCTGACAGACACAGCCACTGCTGTCACACTGGCTGCCACTTCCAGAGCTGAGAAAGCTTCACACAGTAACGCCACCGTCCTCCCCACTCCGCACAGTGACACCATCCGTCCTCCCCACTCTACACAGTAACGTCACCGTCCTCCCCACTCCTCACAGGAACGCCACCGTCCTCCCCACTCCACACAATACTGTCCTCCCAGCTCCCCACAGTAACGCCACCGTCCTCCCCACTCCACACAATACTGTCCTCCCAGCTCCCCACAGTAACGCCACCGTCCTCCCCACTCCGCACAATACCGTCCTCCCCACTCCACACAGTAACGTCACCGTCCTCCCCGCTCCGCACAGTAACACCACCCATCCTCCCCACTCCCCACAGTAACGCCACCGTCCTCCCCACTCCGCGCAATACCATCCTCCCCGCACCCCACAGTAACGCCACCGTCCTCCCCACTCCGCACAGTAACGCCACCGTCCTCCCCACTCCGCACAGTAACGCCACCGTCCTCCCCGCTCCGCACGGTAACGTCACCGTCCTCCCCACTCCGCACAGTAACGCCACCGTCCTCCCCGCTCCGCACAGTAACGCCACCGTCCTCCCCGCTCCGCACAGTGACACCATCCGTCCTCCCCACTCCGCACAGTAACACCATAATCCTCCCCATTCCACACAGTAACGCCACCGTCCTCCCCACTCCGCACAGTGACACCATCCGTCCTCCCCGCTCCGCACAGTGACACCATCCGTCCTCCCCACTCCGCACAGGAACGCCACCGTCCTCCCCGCTCCGCACGGTAACGTCACCGTCCTCCCCACTCCGCACAGGAACGCCACCGTCCTCCCCACTCCGCACAGTAACGCCACCGTCCTCCCCGCTCCGCACGGTAACGTCACCGTCCTCCCCGCTCCGCACGGTGACGCCATCAGCCTCGCCGTTGCCTCCGGGATGCAGAAGAGGAAGCTGAGCAAGGCTCTGTGCGTGTCCACAGCTACCGGTGCTCCATGGCAGGCCCGGCTGGCATGCAAGCCCAGGCTGCCTGCTGGGACACCCTGCTCATCACTCTGACACTAAGTCATTTCCTGTCCAATGTGAAAAGATCAGACCGGGATCTTCTATTTCAGCAAAATCCCTCTATCTCTTCATGATGTCATTTACACACACACACACACACACACCCATCGGGAGATTAGAACAGTGACCCCTAGGTGTCCCATCAATCCGTACGGCAGGCGGGGTCAGCAGAGGCCACGGGCCAGTGAAACATCCAAATGTTATCAGTGCCCGTGGGTGCCAGGCTATGAAAAAAGTGAGGGCACAAAGTAAGATAAGAGAGCTTGGCCTCCTGCCTCAGTGACCTGTCTGTGGGCTCAGGGTCCTAACCCCTACCTACCCAGGACACAGGGAAGAATCACCGGTGCCCACGCCGCCCCCAGCCAGTCAGTCAGCACCCATGGGGTGGGGCCCAGGCTTCTCGGGGACTTAAAGCACGGCCAGGACTGACTCTGTCTGGAGGACGGTGCTCAGCAGTGGACAACACTCCAAGGACTTACAGAAAGAGTGCTCTTCACATACAGGTGACCAGCTGTAACACAGGAGAGCTCCGTCGCCATCCGAATAAATGCACTGAGGCTGTCTGACCACGCAATTTCTAACCAAACTATAAGCCTTGCTCCAGGCAGCAGCCGGGAGCATCATGACGTTGCCACGCCCGTTTGGTGACGCAGACCGGGGTCTCTCTGGTGGATTACAGTAACTGCTGAAGAAGTCCAAAGTGAGAACTTGCTACCGCTGCACAGCCTTGCTACATGTTATGGTGAAGGCATGTCTCAGGCCACGTTCTACAGGCACACACATTAAACAAACATACGTTGTCGGCGTGTCCCATAACCTCAATGTAGTCCCTACTCTCTGTCTCTTTAGGTTCAATACACTGAGGTTCACTGAAGACACAGCCCCATCCCCTGGCAGGGTGCTGTCCTCTGCGGAGGTTAGACCCACCCGAACCAGGATGTGACGGGGCTCAGAGCTTAGGTGGAGCCTCAGGGACCACCCTAAGGTCCGGCTAGTTATCCACCGGACACATTCTGATCACCTGTTCTCCGTGGGCAGCAAGGAAGGCTTTCTGACAACCTCACCAGTGAGACCCCGTTTCTCACATGTTTTCATGTTCAATTAATCTGGTTTATTTTCTATGTTTTTCCATTTCTCACATTTCTTATGCTAACATCCGTTACTCATTTTTCCAAGAAAACCATTATTGTAGAGAAATAGACTCCTGAAGAATTTGTACCAGCCAGGAGTGTGGTCCTTATACAATACTAGTTGGCTACTCAACTAGTGTTCTTGACAGCATGTTAGCTGGCCAACCACCTCTAGAAGCAAAAGCTTAACTGCACATACGTGAAGTCACTCTGGCTGTCATGTAAATTATGGTCATTCAAGCACTGGCACTGAGCGAACCAAGTCCATTTAGCACCAAGTATCCTGGTCTTCCTGTGTGTGCATGACAATAGTCCCTGGCGGCTAAGGGCAGTCCATAACTATGTGAATAGGAAATGATCTGGGTTGTTTGGTGATGAGGATATTGACAGTGCTTCCAGAACTGGGTCTGATCGAATTCTTCCCATAGTTCAGATGACAGATGAGCTCTGCTCACCAGCCTCTTCCTATTCCCAAGCTCCGACAGGCTGGGCAGCACCAAAGAAGTCCCCGAGGAAGCAGGACAAAGAGGAAATGGCTTCCTGACACCCAGCGCTGATTTGCACTTGGCACTGGCATCCGTCGTTGGGCTGATATTCTTAGTGTTGTCTTTAACATTTTTTGTGTCTTTGTCACCTCTAGTCATATACACTTTAGTGAATTGCCATTTGGAGAACATTTCCATGTTTGTTTTACACTTTTGTCTTCTGAAAGCAAATCTATGTTTTTTATCACTTCTGAGAAGCAGATACTCAATTTTTCCCCCAGATTTTTTAAACCAATATTTCCTGAGCAAGGACTGTAAATAAGCTTTCTACAGATCCAAATGGATGACAAAAGAAAAAAGAAAGAATGAAAACCACTAACACTAAGGAAATGGCAGGTACATGTCACAGGGGAGAGGAGGCCAGGGGACAGAGGGTGGTGAGTTTGCAGCAAGCCCCAGGGGCCTGGTCTGGCGTAGAAACTGCATAGAATAACCACCCCACATATGCTCAGGCATAAAATAAAAATAGGAATCAGCACTTCACTGGAAAACAGACCATCCTATGGTGAAAAGGGGGGCAGTTAGGAGAGAAAAATGAAACGTGGCCTTCTTACTGTTGGTGATCATGAGCACAGATGTATCAGGAAGCATTTTTATGGGAGCAACAGAGTTCCAAGGTCCCCCCAGGAGACAGTGTGCCTGTCCCGGGAGAGTCCATCTGCCAGGGCTCTTTAAGACTTAAGGAGACAAGTCCAGGTTTGGTGGTGAGCAGAGTCCTGAGCGGCCACCTCTAGATCTGGGTCTGCCATTGACCATGAGTTATAAGAGCAAATCCCTTGATCATCTCGCTGGGCTTTCTATGTTCCACAGGAGCTGTTTAGATCTCTCCTCTATACAGAGAGCTGTACTATGAGGAAACCATGAACGCTGGCAAAGAATAAAGGGTTCAAGGTCCAACAGAAACACTAGGCATTGTTACCGACTCAAAGTCCCTCGAGGGTGGCAAAACCAGTGATAACAAATTTAATAATTAATTCCCTGACTTTTATTTTTGTGGTTGTTATAACGTCTCAACTGCAGGACAGCCGATCAAAGTCTTCCACAGCGGAGGCACCTGGTACGCCAGAATGTACTAGAATGCACTTCAGTGGAGGTTTACGTGCACGTTGAAGTGTGTGATTCCATATGCAAACACACGGGAGAAAACCTGACACTTAGTGTTGAGGCCAGCCAGGAGCAAAATGTAAGGGGCCACCCAAAATTGCAGTCATTGAGATAAATAATATTTTCGTGCCCTATAGTTAACTCAAAGTGAGTGAATTAAAAAATAAAAAATCCATGTTGAACAAAGCAGATACTTAAAAAAAAAAAAAGAATTTTAAATAAAGAAGTGCCGAGCACAAAACAAAAGAGCCAGCAACGAAAGGAGGGGTGGGAGGAGGGGGTAAGATCAATAACACCGACCTTACTTTTATTAAAATTTTGATAGTTTGATTAAAATTTTGTTTTATTAAAACAAATTTATTAAAATTTTATTAAAATTTTATTAATAGTTTGTTTTATTAAAATTTTGATAGTTCACCGTGAGTTTTTTTGCATGCATTTTGAGTTTTCAATATCGCCTACAGTGCTGTTCTCTCCGTCACCCTGCCCTCCGGAGCGGGGCCCCAGCGCAGCGCCCTGACCGGCTGGGAGCGCAGCCGCCGCCCGGGCCCAGCCCGCGCCCAGCAGGTGCCTCGCGGGGCTGCGGCGGCGGGCGGCGGGGCGGCGGGCGGCCGGTGGCCGGGGGCAGGGGGAAGGGGGGCAGGGGGCGGGAAGCAGGGGGCAGGGGGCAGGGGGCAGGGTGGCGGGGCGGGCAGCCTACCTGGCTTGTTGCGGGCGCCGTGCGTGCGCGCCAGGCTGAGCTCGCGGCGGATGCGCGCCTCCAGGTACTCCTGCTTCTTGCCCAGCATCTCCTCCGTCTCCCGCAGCCGCGCCAGGGCCTCCTGCGGGCTGGGCGCCGCGCGGCCCCGGGACGAGCCCCCCAGTTTGAACAACTTGCCCAACTTGCTCATGGCGGCGGGCCGGGGCCGCGCGGGGCCAGTCCTGGGTCTGCCTCCGAGCTCCGTCCAGGCGGCTCCCGGATCAACCAGCCGTCGGGTCGGGGCAGGTGGCACTCCCCTGGGCGCCTCCCGGCGCCGCCCCGCCCAGGCGGCCGGAGGGGCGGGGAGGGCCGCCTCCCAGGACGTGGCCGGGCGCCGGCGGCCTGCGGAGCTGGGGAGCTGGGAGGGAGGAGGGCAGAACTCCGGGTGCCGCCGCGAAGTTGTGGCTTTGTCCGTGCTGGGGTGCTTGGGGCTGAGGTCAGCACACCATGTCCCAGGGTCCTGTGGGGGCGTGTGTGTGTGTGTGTGTGTGTGTGTGTGTGTGTGTGTGCTGGGACACCCAGGTAAACAAAACGCTTCCTTCCACGCCTGTGTTGTGTGTGTGTGTGTGTGTGTGTGTGTGTGTGAGTGTGCTCTGCGTCCCTGCGCAGTCTCTGCCCTTGTGAATAAGAACCTCAGGTATGTGGATCCAGGTGTGTGTCTCGTGGGTATGACAGGGGCAGGTGTGATGGAGCCGCTTGCTCTGGGAGCAGCAGGTCTGACTGGGCTTGTCTCTGCAGAGCAGGAATGTGGGCAGGTGCCTGAGTGCTCTGTGCTCCTCGCATGGGTCATTCCCGTCATCCTTACCTCATCTTACGGAGCTGGAAGGGACTGGAGGGTGGCTGTCTCTCTGTCCCAACGTCAGTGAGTTTGGTTGTTGGGTGCGGTTCTGTCCTGAAGCCGAGCCCTCAGCGTGCCGGTTAGTGTAGCCGTCACCTGTAAGCAGCTGCCCATGTGTCAGAGGCCTTAGAGGCACTCAGTGACGAAAAGTCCCAGAGAAAAGACATGTTCTCTGGTCCATGCTCGCTCTCATCCCATCTCGGAGACCCTGATGGCGTGGTGAGCTGGAAGGACACAGTGTGTGCAGTGACCGCGGCCAGCAGCAGGAGCACGCCCCCAAAGTGCACATGGACTGGAGTCTGCGCCTGGTTTTCCAGGGCTGTGTGTACCCCACACAACGGCTTGTGGGAGCAACAACACCCATGTCATTGGGACCTGTTTGTGATCCTTCCCTAAGCACTGCTTGTCTCAGTGGTAAATACACCTTGACGCCCAGGGTCAATAACCAGTTGGTTTGCCATCGTATGGACACAAGCAGCAAGCCGACCCGCTTTATCCAGCACCGGGAGAGCCAGCGTCAAATTCTGCCAAAGAAACCAGACATTGTATATATAGGAGCTCCTTGGATTATATATCTTACACACACGGCACAGAAGCTCTTCATTCCCCAGTCACCATGGCCAGCCCTTCTTACCATCTCCCCAGGCCATCCCAGGCACGTGTGATCTTGTTACAGAGTTCCGGAACAATCAAACAATGCAGAGTTTGGAGAGACTCACTTTATTCATCTCGAGATGGACTTAGAGAAAATGAATTCAAATTCTAAGCAAGGCTACAAGCAGAATTTCTCTTTTTATTAAAGAGCCAGCCCTGTGTGCACTTAGTGATTAGCTCCATGCTGGCCTTGAAAACAATACAGTTCTATCCAATTAAAAAGTGCACCTGGCATGGCATTGAGATTATGGGCATATCTAGTCTCCGGCCTACAGGTCAGACAGCTAAGTTTATCTTCATCGTTCTTCAAACAGGCTAACGCAGACTAGAAAGCAAACGTTTTTAGAATAAGAGGCCATCAAAGAGCAGAAAATTCCAAACAGCAGTTTTTTACAAAATAGGGGTTTTCCTTCTCATTCTGGAACACATACTTTGCTCTAATCTTGTGAACTGTAGAAATGTTGTAGTTTACGATTGAATGTCTGTGACTGTTTCGGAACATATTTTGTCTGTTAGACTCTAGGCCCTGGAGAGATGAGAAGTAGCACGTTTTCTGCTCAGGCTCCCATTGCTGGTTAGCTGAACGCCTTCACTGCGTGAATCTCTATAAGAGGTGCCCAGAGAGCTTGTCTTCCAAGTGGTGCTGGGATGGGGGCCTGGCCCTGAGCGGGTCTGCCCAGGGCTGCCTGTAGTGTGTGGGGTTCTTGACTTCATACGGGAAGTTTCAGAGTCCACGTGGCCATGAGGGAGCAGTTGTGAAAGCTGGGGATGTCAAACACAAAGGGCTTAGTCTAGAAGCAGCAGCTGAGCCGAGGCCAGGCTGCCCGGGCTCTCTGGGAAGTCAGAGAAAAGGGACCTTGGGGACAGGTTCAGGGCGCTGGCCTGCGATGACCCGCTGCTGCCCAGTGCTCCCCAGATTGCAAGCCTCTGGGGTTTAGGAGATGCCTGCCTGTGGGGCGAAAAGGGGGAGAAGAGAATGGGGGAGCTGCTCCCAGAGGGAGAGAGCTTGCTGAGGCTTTTATTTCTCTCTGCAGGCAGGAATCTTCTGACAGGCCTCAGGGGAGGGTTTCAGCAGAATATTCATCAGTTTTCCAGGTGTGCTTCTCCAGGGCGTGGTCTCCACCAGCTGGCAGGTAGTCAGTCATTGCCGCTGGTCCTGGTGTCGCCCACCTGGTTCTGCTGCTTTTCCGGGTGTGGATCGGAAATGCAGCTGAGGCTGAGATGTCCTCTCCGGGAGGTGACCTGCCTCTGCGGTAAATTGCTGTCAGTGTGCTCAGCTGTGGGTCTGCTTCCCTGCCCCCGTGTCCTGGCTCACTGGCCTGTGCCAATAGCAGTAACATCCTTTTTCCCGAGTGTGTGCTGTATGCCCAGCACTGTCCCAGATTCTAGAGATTCACAGAGAAAAAAGAAAGACTGAAACCCATGCATTCTTTTTTTAAAAAATATGTTTTTATTGATTTTAGAGAAGGAGGAAAGGAGAGAGAGCGAAACATGGACTGATTGTCTTCTACACCTGCCTGCAACCTTTTTTATTTTTTTTTAAATAAATCTTTATTGTTCAGATTATTACAATTGTTTCTCTTCCCCTCCCTCTCCCCCCATAACTCCCCTCCACCTGGTCCCCACTCCACCCTCTGCCCTTATCTTTCTCTCCCCCACCCCCTCCCTGTCCTCATCCATAGGTATATATGATTTTTGTCCAGTCTCTTCCTTTTGGTGTATGGGACAAGGTTCCAACCAATTGAGCCACCCGACCAGGGCAGCCCCTGCATTTTTGGGAGCCTACCTTCTAGTTGGGGGAAGACAGACAGTGAAGGAAGGAAGCAATGTATTATAAGTGTAATGTGAAGGGAAACAATAAAGCTTGGAGTATCAGCGAATTTAAGTTTTAGACAACATATGCCAAAACCTTGAGTCTGAAGTCTTATGGTTCAAAGGAAGGCCGGAAGCTGGGCTGTGAGAGGCCTCCAGAGTCCAGGGTCCACACGATGTGTCCATGGGATCCTGTATTTTAGCTGTAGAGCAAATGAAAACCAATCAGAGACTGAAACAAGTGTTTAGTCATTAATTTATAATTCAACAGAAAAAGGAATCAGTTTTTCCGAATTTAATGGTTACTACTTTCAGAAATGCATGTGGTATGCAAAGCGAGATACATTTGAATTAAAAACCATTCCCTTCCATTAGTGCATAACTTCAGGAGGGAAAAGATAATATTTGCATGCAAGCAAACCCTCCAAATATATATCAGTGCTTAATCCAGCAATAAGATAGAGAGAATAAATTTTTAAATCAATGATGTAGAAGCTGGAAACTAACACATTAATCTTCATTCAATACTCACCCCAGAAATGTGGTTTCATAAAGAGTTCTCAGCATCTGGTACATTTTTCATTTTCTAGTCTCAATTGATCTCAGCTAATGAGGAGGCTGTTGTGCAGAAGAATGGTCTTGTTCAGGGTGATTTACCGCGTTAAGATGGCAAAGGAAATTGGAAATTTATAGATCGTTAAAAAGACCATAGCGTCAGGCTAATTGATACATTTTGACCACCCCTTATAATTACATCCATTTTTAGGATGCCACGTGAACTCTCTGAAGGAACCGAAGAATTGCCCCTTAAACACACTGCAGAACGATCATCAAGTAGTTATTTATTAAGCAGCTCAACAAGAATGTACACATTCTTTCCATCAGCAGTTCTGTTTCTTAGAACCAGATATTCATCATATATAATACTGAAGTAGTTATTATGAAAAATAATAATTTTTTCCAAAATAAAAGGTGGGTTGCCCTACTCGGTAATGAAGGTTTGTGGTGCCTGGGACTGCGTTTCCCTGCAGTGCTCTTCCCGTGGTTTCTACCTCTGTCCCTCCCTGCCCAGACAGACAGGGACAGAATCTAATGAGCACAATAAAATGGTGAACAAAGCAGGACCAGAGGCATGGAAACAGAACTGGTTCGTGAATCTCAGAGGGAAGGGGCAGGAAGAGATTAACCAAAGGTTTTTTTTTGTTTGTTTTTTAAAATACATTTTATTGATTCTTCTACAGAGAGGAAGAGAGAGTTAGAAACATCAGTCAGCTGCCTCCTGCACAACCCCCTCAGGGGATGTGCCGCAACCAAGGTACATGGCCTTGACCAGAATCGAACCTGGGACCCTTCAGTCCACAGGCTGATGCTTTATCCACTGAGCCACACCGGTTTTGGCTAACCATAGGTTTTGTTTGCATATCTGCCTAATCCAAGACCACAGACAATAGGATAGTGAAGGCCTAGAGCAGGGCAGGAACTAGGGGGTGGGGTGGGGGTAGGGGTGGGAGTGGGGATAAGGATGAAAAGGGGGACATCTATAATACAATAAAGACTAAAAAAAAAAAAAGTTAAACTGGTTAAAAAAGGGGGAACAGATTTGGCTGTAAAATGTTTTTTAAGCCAACCACTTAAAGGATATAAAATGAGATGCAGCTCTACTGTAATGTCACCTGTATTGGGCATAACCTACTCAAAGCTGATTCTTCCACCATCCTTTCCCTCCAGAGTTTCATTATGCCTGAATACAATCCCATGTAATTTTGGACTTAATTAAGGAACACATAGTTTATCTCTCAGTTAATAATTATAGCTTTCCTTTGCCAGAGGCCTAGGAGTTACCCTTG